GGGGGGGGGGCATTTTGACTTTTATAGACGGGCGGGCGGTAGGGAAACTGTGCGTCTCTCTAATTGAGCGTTAGACCGAGGCGTCCTGGCCTGGCGCGGTCGCGTAGGTCGGCGACGGGGGTAGAAAACCCGATCAGGATGACAGGGGAGGGGGAGCGCGAGCACGAGCAAGAGCAGGCGCACGAGCGGGCGCGAAGTACGAGCAGTTTCACGAGCAGGTGCACGAGCGGGTGCAACGAGCAAGGTCACCAGCATATCAGGTCGAGCAGGCACACGAGCAGGTGGCTATAAGGGAAGGTGGCCCGGCCCGGGCCGGCCCGCGGCAATGCTCTGCGCCGAGAAGTAGTGATCTGACATATAGACCTACCGCAGCGCTCTCTTTGCTCGACTTCAACAAAGATAAGAAATTCAAGGGGAAATAGGCTTGAACTTCGGTGTACGTTTCCTTGAACTTCGGCGAACTTCGGCGAACTTCGAGAACTTCGGTGAACTTCAGTGAACTTCGCGGAACTTCGACCGAAGTTCTCGCACTTCGACCTGGTCAAGAGATATGAAAGCAAAATTGTTCCTCTGTAATCTTTCTAATTCAGGCCGTAGATACCTGCTTTGAGTAAGCTCGAGACTCGCTTATAGTAAGCACTCAAAATTGCTAAGTGCAGCCGTAAATATGTACTAAAATATTTGGAACTTCAGTGAACTTCTCAGATTTATTTTGAACTTCGGGGAACTTCGACATTTATTTTGAACTTTGGGGAACTTCGACATTTGTTTTGAACTTCGAGGAACTTTGATGCTCATTTTGAACTTCGGTGAACTCCGTGGACTTCGATGGATTTCGGTGAACTTCGGAGAATTTCAGTGAACTTCGATAAAATTTTACAAAGCAAACTTCAGTGAACTTCGGCCGAACTTCAGTGAACTTCAGCCGAAGTTCATGAACTTCGACTTCGGGTGTACAAATTATTGGAGCCTATTTCCCCTTGAAGAAATTTTGACGAATTAAAATTTAAAAAAAAAATCCAAAATATATTCATTATGCTGTGCTGCAAGATGGACATTTAAAATACTATCCGTATACACGCAGAAAAGTCGGCGTTATAGAGTTTAAGGGCGTGCAAAACGTGAAGGGTGCAATTGGTGCGGTGGTGAAAGAACATGTGCAGAAAGGTGAACGAGTGCAAGGTGCAACAGGTGCAAAGTTGTGCAAGAAAAACTTTTTACAGTGAGCTAGACTACGGTGCGGTCGGTGCAAAAAAAGAGTGCCGTCGTCGGTGCAGTAAAAACACCCAAGATATGAAGAATACAAAAAATGAGTGCTCTGAAAAGTGCGCGCGTTGTAGAGTGCGTCCGGTGTGTGTGCTGTGGGGACGGTGTGAACGAGTGCAACAAGTGCGAGAGGTGCATCATCGCCACACTGTATGGTGGCAGGTGTGAGAACGTGTATGGCACACGGTGAATGTGCGTTGGGGTGCCGTCGAGTGAGTATCCCCGGTAAAAAGTACAACGTGCGAAAGCGCGCCTTCTCTGCATCCGTGTGCCTCCCTTGCCTCTCGCGCGTCCTCTCCGTTTTCGGTGCGTTCTCGGTGCGTTGTCGGAAACCATAACAATCCAACGCATCCGCCCGGAGAGAAGGCGCGGTTTTTCACGGTTTAGAGCTTCTACCGGGGACATTTTTAGTGAAAACGTAAGACGTTACATCTATAGGACAAAGCAAAGGTAGAGCTTGGAAAAGCATCTTTACAAAATGGAACAAAAAGTTATGTGCAGTTTTTTGTGTCAAGTTCCACCTTTGCTTTTTTCAGGAAACGCTTTTTGCTTCCCCTCCACGCCAAAAAAAGAAAAGAAACGAAAATCACGCTCCTTTATAAAACTAATAGCCGTTGAATAATAACTGAAATAATATCCCGGAATAAACGAGCACGTTGTCTCCAAAGATCCCGCAGGGGGAGGCCAGCGCGGTCACGGCAGCGAGACGACGTCGCAATTTTCCATGAACCCTGAACGTCCCACCGCTGTAGTATCACGGCAGCTCTCAGCCTTTGTGGGGCTGACGTGTTTTTCGCCGAGAGGGGAAGAGGAGGAGGTTTAATTCTCCCGGTTGGCCGGCTCATGGCCGTGGCCTTATTTGCGAGCTACGGGTCGGGGCCAGAGAGCGCCGCGTATAGTCAGAGAGCGGCGGCGGCTTTGTGGACGGGGCGGCCCCCGGGGGCGGGCGGGGGCCGTGGGGGAGGGTCAGGGGGGCGAGCATGGCGAGCACAAACTGCACAAGGCCAAGGCACCTGGTAGGGGGAGGGGTGTGTCCTGCCTGTGTTAGAGCCGCGGTGTGGTCGGCGGGGACCTCGACGGGGACGTCGTCGGGGAGCTCGGCGGGCTGGGGCTCTCGCTGGTGCGGCCGACGAGGCCGAGGCCGAGGCCGTGGCCGCGGACCAGGGCGCCGCCGCAGCCGCCGCCGCCACCGCCCCAGCGCAGAGCCTCCTCCTCGAGTTGCTTCACCTTCTTTGCCGCCTTGAACTCGAGCAGGTCGTCCATGAGGTCCAGCTGGAGGTTGTGCGTCGAGGAGGCCAGGGCCTCGGAGCGGCACGCGGCCGCCGAGAAGGCCGCGATGCTCTCGCGCCGCCCGCGGCCGAACATGACGAGCGACGGCGGAGGCACCCTGGAGATGACGACCGAGTGCCGGCGGCCGCCCGGCTGCGGCCCCGGGGTGGCCGACAGCGTCGCCAGGAACTCCTGCTCGCGAGGCGACGGCCCGGACTCGGGCCCGCGCTCCGACAGGCGCCGCACCTGCAGGGGGAGCAAAGCAGGCTCAGCACGAGGAGCAGGAGCACGACGACGTGGCTGAGGCGGCAGGGGCACTTCACCCAAACAAATCAGCAAAACAAGCAGAAAACAAAAAACAAAAGAAAAATAAATGTAAAAAAATTACAAAAACGAAAAACGAATGAATTGGTATTGGTAAACGCTTAAATTTATAGTGAAGTACCCTCGGGATCACCCTCGTACCTGGCTGGCCGTGATCCCGGACGAGCACGCCGGCGTCGGCAGCGAGGACTTGCGCGTGTCGCGCCAGGGGCTGAGCAGGTAGGGGTTCTCGTCGGCGGCGGGCGAGTCGTCGCCGCAGCCGCCGCCGGCCAGGTCGCCGACGGCGAACGCCGGGTGCGGCGCCGCGCCCGCCCCGTCGGCGTCCTCGTCGTCGCCGTCCAGCGACTCCTCGACGACGATGCGCGGCTCCAGGCTGTTGAGCGGCGCGAAGGAGGCGCGCCGGAGGGGCCGCGCCGCTGCACAAGACAAGTTCGGGTCCATTCGTACGGGTAAAGAATCGACACAAAACGCCTGAAACTCCTCGACGCATCCAGCCTGGTTCGACTGGGTTCGATCCACGTCGAAAGCGGGCCTCGGGGTGCTAGATTCAAACAGCGCGCCACGCGGGGAACTACTCCCTAGCGGCGAAGTCACCGGCCCGAAAAAGTCAGTCAGTCAGCTGTGAACGAGCGAGTCGCGCGGGTCTGGTCGGTCTGGTCTACGACGCCGAACGTGTTGTCAAGTTGTCAATGTCAAGGTCAAGTTCACGCGATGGCCCAGCCGTTTGCACCCTCTTTGTTCCATGGGGCAGTAACCGGTTTAAATTGTCTCGCGTGTCCGCGAGGGTTTCTTTCTACTGACCCATTCAACTACTCTGCCCAAAAAGTACGCGTCGCCAAGTCTGCCCAACCGAAGTTACAGTGACCTAACCTCGTTGCTAACCTGCCGCTCTCCCATGCATGGAAGTTGTTCACAAAAGTGAAGCGAAGTGAAGTGTGTTTCCCTTGAAATGGGCTACGTGTTGTTTAGTTCAGTGTGATTTAGTGTGAAAATGTGTGAAATGCGAATGGATTTGTAGACATTCTAAAGTGGATTGTGTTTTTCTGCTGGCCAGCTCCTTTACTGTCTTCTACTCTGGTGAGTCAACTATTTTGTATATTGTTCTGTGTTGGCCCAACACACTGGCAATGCACTGTTAATAGTGTTCGTCTACATGTTTAACATGGTACAGCATATTCTAGGGCTCCATAACTTATCGTAACACAAATGAATGTTAGTTACTCAACGTAACAAAACTCATGTCTAATTAAAAGTTAAAGCTATTGATTCTGCAATACACCCGATATTAATTGTATATACTGTAGGAAAAAGTTGGGCTTGTCGAATAACTAACTTATTGGTAAAGGACTACAATTAATGTTACAAGTTATAACTTTTACCCTTAAAGCCAGTTAAGGAATAAGTTACATATTCTTTATTTTTGCTATTGATTGCACTGTAGTATGATTTTTCTATTGTTCCAATGAATTGTTCTAAAATTGTGATTGTGATTTGATATCAATATTTGTTTAGCTTATTGATTGTACTTTGTACTTCTCAAATCAACTACTTCATCAACATATATTATTCAATTAAATATCTCTATCTTATCAAATCAATCAATTAAAACTTAATTCTTTAGAATAAATTAAAAGTAGCGTACTTGGATATTTCTCCTCAAGACTGATCCTGTCATCACTGTTTAAAATTATAGCAATCGTCAGAGGGAGTTTCTTGACTGGGTCTCAACTGACACAAAAAGGCAGTGTTAGTGGTTCCTTTTCCATTGCACCTTCTCTGTCACTTGAAGAGTGTACATTGTCTACTTTAAATAAAGTGTATACGGCATGTATGCCCAAATGTTTACATGTCAATGTATGCTTCTATAAGTGTTTACATAGTGCTGTTAAAGCTTACATGCCATGTACACTTTATTCAAAGTATAGAATGTGCCCATTTGAATTGACAGACAGAGTTGCTGTGGTGGGCGACCTAGGAATCCGACTGTGACGGTTCTCCCCATGACCGGTAGTGGGTCAGTACAGTTAAACCAACGTGCGCATTCAACTGTCTTAGTATCCCTGGGCCTGGGAGTACCCTATGTTCTGACCACTGTGGTTGCGAGAGGCTGTTCTCGCCCTCACCGGAAGTCGCCAACAACGCCTGCGGTGTGAGGCGCGCGGGGCGCACTGCCCTCGGCACTGCCCCCTTTTGTTCTTTTCGGGGCGGGTGGTGAAGGGTCGAGAGCGTTTACTGCGCCGAGCAGGCCGAGCAGCGGACTTTTGTCTTTTGTCTACAGAGTCGGTTCTGATGAAGCTGCATAGTGGCCGTGTTGATTGTTGGGTACAAACTGGTAATTCACTAGAAACTCGGGGAACGTTAGACCCGGTGGCGGGCGGCCGCCTGCGGTGGACTGGGTAGGCCACCCGTTGTGCGCGGGTGCGCTGCGGGCGCGTTGCCTACCCAGTAGGCGCTCAGGTCCACAATGCCTTCGCAGCCCCGGCGGCGCGCCACAGGCCACAGGCGGTGGGAGTATCGGGCCGGAGCGTTCTTTCTGGTGCTCTGCTCTGTGTTATCTGCGGGGCGTTGAGACAGCGCAGGTAGGGGCATGTGCCCCTTGCACGGAGCTAGAGGTGGGCGAACATGTTCACATTCGATCGAACTCAGTGGCGGATTAAGGCCCGGCTGACAGGGGGGGCGATGCACTGTCGGTTGCCTACATACAGGG